CTTGATATTAAAGCTCTTTTTCTTTTGCTCTGAGTGAAGTACAAACCCACTGAAGTGTTTTAAGAGCCATTGGTGACAGAAGAATCTGATGGAGATGAAGCAGGGTGAGAAAAATATTTTATTGAATGTGTAATAAACTGGATATCTGCACATCCTCAAAGTTGCTGTCACACCTGCAAGTAAAGAACAGACATATCTTAAAAAATTCTCAGTGGCTTGATTTTCTCTTTAGGTAAACTCATTCATTCCCATATTGACAAGTGTCAACCACAATGTCTATTACTTCTAAATATATATATCTTTTACCCAGACACCATACTTGCAGGATGCATTCAGATATTCGCTTCCAATTCAATGTTTCCATTTATATGCATAAATATTATTACCAAGGCCAAAACAAAACTTATGATTTTATTGTACATGTTCCTTCTTCCCATCAAGCATATTATCTTCCAGGGTGACCTGTCATCCTGAAGGTTGCTTCTGTTTGTTGGGTTTCTCCACAAGACTAGACTTATCCAAGGTCAACCATTAGGAGGAAACAGTTTATACCACTTTGACAGCTAGAATGTTTGTCATTACAAATAAGCAAACATCTAGCCAAAGAAGCTTAATAAGAAGAAATGTTATTGTGGATAACAAGAAGTAAAATGTAACAGTTTTAGGGACTCATCACTCAAAGTTATGATAATGTGATCAGTATATAGGTGGCTTCTGAACTTCAGCATTTGATAGTACATTCCTTCAAAGCTCAAGATGGGCGGGAGGGGGGGAAGGTATATCTCAGTGTTAGAGCACTTGCCTAGTATGTATCAAGACCCTGGGCTTAATGTTTGTTTTCTTTTTTAAAAAAAAAACAAAGGAAAGAATGAAAGAAAACTAGCTTAAGGTGGTTGATGCTGTTCCAAACATGGTGTGTCATCAGCATGATATTGTTCTAAAATTACAGACAATAAAGGAATGAGAAGGATGACAACATAGAGCACTCTATTCAAAAGAAATATTATATAACAATATTGTTAAGTGTATTTTCACAGATTCTGAAACAAGATTTCTTGAGTTCAAATCCCAGCCAGCTAGATATCAGGTGTGTCAGCTTGAAAAAATGATTTAAACTTTCTATGCTTTCATTTTCTTTTTGATAAGCATATAATAATAGTATTTTTCTATGGAGTCTTTCATGTCAATTAAATGGTTTAATACATTTATAAATCTTAGGGCAATATCTGGTAAGAGGTTAATGTATGTTTGCTATTGTATGATTAGTAAGTCACAAGCAATGCATAATTATAAAAAGGGAACTTTAAGTGAAATTTAAAATAAACTTTATATGCTTATAATTGTCTTCAAAATAGTTATAAAGCAAATTATAAAATATTTTCAAATTACACAACTCTCTACCTGCAAACTACATGATTGTTTTCAACTTAGAACTTATATAGCAAGAGTAATGAACTAATTTATCATGTTTTCTAGGTGCAAGATTAATGTTATTATTGTACTAGTAATTGACAGAAAAGGTGTAGATTTCATGTATTATACCATAAAAAAAAACCCCACAAATGCCTAGAAATAAGTTAAATAGATATTTAATTCTCTTATGAAGAAATTTTCAAGACATTACTGAAAGGCTTAAAAGCAGACCTGAAAGTTAAAAAGTACATACTATATTCATGGACGGAGGATTCAATATCACAAAGATCTTCTGAAAATAATAATGTGAACCTCCTCTTTGATAAAGAAAACATTACATCAGAAATATTACTCTTCCTATAATAATCAAAGATTCCTTTAATCAGAGAATATGTTTGATGGGGAGAAGGAAGATGTGCCAAAAAATCATGAGTTCTGCTTGAGATTTGGTAATAATGTTTATATATTTAAAGGGAAATACTAAATAGTGTGTGGGTATCTGAGTTTATCAGGCAAAGACTCATATTTGATTAAAGCAAACCAAAATACCAGAACTAAAGTGAATATTTCATATAACCTTTAATATCTTTCTCTATTCTTTTTCACATATGAAACTTGCTTTGTATTTTTTGACATTGAATTTAAAGAGGTAAAGCCTCTTTTGCCAAATTGTTTTATTGTAATTCAATCCACATACAACCATTTAAATGTACTTATGTTTATTAGACTGTTAGTAGATATTTATAGGAATGTTAGTAGATATTGTTTGGTACACTTATTTGAAATCACTTTTCTATGTAAAGTTACATAAAACTTACCTAACTTTAAAACTTATTTTGTTTTTGTACCCAAATTATTTGTACATAAATACTATAAAAAAAACTATAGTGACTTTTATACTATTTGATATGCAACTCAATGTGTTGTCTCCTTTAATCATTATTTAGAAATAAAATTGCTATATTTCCCAAAGTCAAAATAAATTACAGAGATTATTTTTCTACATTAGCAATTGCCTAAAAAGTATTCTATATTCTGTACAAGTGCTATAAAAATTTCTAAAAGAGGTTAAGAAATTTGACAAATGTAGTTATATTGGAAAAGGAAACAATCGCCAAGAAAAACCAGAAAATTAATAGTTAACAACCTTCCCAACCCACTACCACTGGTCATCAGAGAAATATTTCCATAATAATATTTATGATATAATAATAATGATATTGGTTCATGGAGATAACAATAAATATGAGGGAAAAAAAACCAAAATCAGTCAAACACATTCATACGTATGAAAACTGCAAATGTGATTTTTAAAAAAATGTATTTATATCAAGTCAGAGGAAGAAGTACACACTTGGCAAAATGGTGTTAGGAGAGATGGATGAATGACAGAGATATGCACGTGTAATTACATATCTAATTCACTCTGCCCACAAATGCGGTACAGCCAATAATGGAGAAGAGAAATCCAAACTTTTAAAAAGCATATTTTACAAATATACATTTTCAGAACATACTCAGGACCACATGGGCCTTATAGAAGATGTTCCAGACTCAAACTATAGCACAAGATTATGTAGTTAGTAATATTTTGGAATATGAGTAGGATTTTTGAATTGTGGTAGAGTATGCATAATAAAAAATTTACCACTAAGAAAAAAAAAAGAAAGAAATAGGTAAAAAACAATGGGTAATTTGTCTGCATGGAAACTAACTCACAGTCAACAAATATACAATAATTTTAAAACAATACCATAGAATGGGAAATGCATTTTAACTACACAGAGACAAAGAAGGATCGGCACAAATCCAAAAGTAAATAATTCACTACAAAATTGGTCAAAGCACATGACAATCAATGAATTAAAGAGAAAAGATGAGCATTCCAGAAAATGCAAGTCAAACAACAATGAAATCTAACAGATACCTATCAGAGTGTCATGTGTCAAAAAGGTCTAACAAGGTGAAGTTCTCACAGGAATTTGCAGATGCAGAGAATTTCACTCCCTGCTGATGAGGTGTAAAATGATGTGATCATTTTGGAGAATCCTTCAAGTTGACCAGTGGTTTCTCTTTTACCTATTTGCTCTACAGAAACTCTCAGGTGTGATTCCAGGAACACTCACTGCTGTCTTTTTTGAAGTTTTTTGTTTTCCTTTTCCTTTTTATTCTGAAATAATTATAGATTCAAAGCAAGTTGCAAAGATAGTACAGAGAAATTCCCTTTAGCATCCACACAGTTTCACCAAATGGCCACATTTTACAAACTATGGGACAAGGTCAAAACCGAAAATTTGCAATGGTGTCTTGCATGTTACTTTTATGCTATTTTATCACATGTGTAAACTTATGTGACCATCACTGTAGTGAAGACAGAGGGATGCCCGCCCTCACAAAGACCTCCCTGTGCCACCTCAAATTCATACCCACTGCTTGCCCTGCCTGCTGTCTCTCATATCTGGCAATCTGTATCCTATTTTCCATGTTATATAGATAATATTATGTGAATAAAGTCATATAGTGAGTGATATTTTTACATTGTTTATTTTCCATGCAGCACAAAAATCCTTGAGGTCCATTGAAGGTGTCTCAATGCTGAAAGTTTCCCTCTTCCTGCTACACTGTGTTCTGTAGCATGCAGGACTACAGTTTGCCCAACCCTTTGCCTATTGAGGACCAGTGGTTATTTCCATGGTTAAGCTATTACAAATAGAGCTGTGAGGTACAGATTTTATGTGGATATAAATTTGGGTTTATAGTAAGTATATATTTAGTTCATGTTCTTTTTGTAAACTGCTAAACTATTTTCCAGAAGATTTGTAAGATTCATGAAGAAATTTTTCTACATAGTACTAAAGCAAAACTCATATGTTATCACAAAAATCACTGTAGGGTTGTTTAATAGCAAAAGTTTAAGCAATCTGAATATCCATCACGAAAAGAATAGATATGTCTGTGTGCATATTTACACACACACACACACACACACACACACACACACACACATATATACATAGTTCATACAAAGGAATATTACAAATGTCTGAATAAATGAGCTAGAGGTGCATGGTTAACATTATAAACCATAATTTTGAATACAAAAACCAAGTATCAACTTGTTGTTTATCATATGTTTCTCTATAGGTGAACAATATAACAACACTGCTATGACCTCTTGTACTAATTGTAGAAAATATATTTATTTTTATGTGGTGCTGAGGTTCAAACTCAGAGCCTCAGATGTGCAAGGCAAGCGCTCTACCACTGAGCTATAGGCCCAGCTGAAAATGATAAACATTTGATTCAAAATAATGATTTTCAGTGGAGATGGAAGGAATTTAGAGTGGAAATTCAGTTGGGGAATTTAACTATATATGTAATATTTTATTTCTTAAAATACTTTAAAGACAATGTAAAAGTATCAGTATTTGGTAGCCGTTATTCTCTGTCATTTCCTATATATTTTATTTGCCATATTTCATAATCAAAAATAAAGTGAGAAACACCCTAAGTGCTTAAAATATACTTTATTTATTTGAATTTAATTCATCAATACAAATGGATTACTATTTACCAAGACCAGAAACAAATAGATGGATTAAATCAATGTAATTTGTGCATATGAGTTTTTTTTTTTTTAGAGAGAGAGAAAGAGAGAATTTTTTAATATTTATTTTTTTAATTTTCGGTGGACACAACATCTTTATTTTATTTGTATGTGGTGCTGAGGATCAAACCCAGCGCCCCGGCATGCCAGGCGAGTGCACTAATGCTTGAGCCACATCCCCAGCCTGCACAGGAGTTTTTAAGACTTTAAAATTATGCATGTTTTTAAGTATTTAAATATTCTTCTTAGGAAACCATTTGTACAAGCCTAGCTATTAACCCTCTTTACAAAAATAATAAAAATCAGAGTAACAAACTGAAATAATGATGGCACATAAGAGAAAGTACATAAGAAACTTCAATAAATTTTTTAAAAGGGAGAGTTTGCTGAGGTGTTTACCCATAAGCCAGAGTGAGAGACAGCTGGAATTCCTGTGCTGGGGCTGTTAGCTAGCAAGAAGGTGCAGACAGACCTGCAGGATGCCAAAGGGGCATCCAGCTTAAGGAAAGCCAGTACTTACTCAGAGCAGTACAGGTGAGAAACAAGGCTGAAAGCAGCAAACTGATGCTGATCCCAAGCAGGGAAAGTTCAGGCTTTTGTACAGAATTGGCATAATATGTCTGAGGTGAACCAAGAAATACAGAAGTTCCAAGATAACTACAGATCTCAGTCCACCCCCTCAAAAGTAACCCCTCTCAACTGCAGAGCCGCACCTGCACACCAGGGCGCTCTAAGGTGAGACTTTCTCTTACCTGTTTTCAAATATAAAGGAACACTCAAGGATCACCTGGCCCCTAAAGGAAAGTCTACAACATAAAACAACAAAGATAAACAGGCACTTTGCCCTCAAGCAAAGACAGACTCAGAGTAAATGGTAGGCTAGCAAGAATCTTCAGCAAAATTCGAGACAATTTTATGCTCATAAAGGAGGAACAGCGTGCCAGGAGCAGGAAATGTTCTGAGAGCCTAAAAATAAGGTATTGAAAATCTGCCTGTGAACTGGTTAGAAAATAAAATCAAAGAATTTTCCCCAAAGAAATAGAAAGAAGCAGCTTGCATACATGATTGTGACTCAAAGTCTTTCCAGAAAGGCAAGGTGAGGAAGCAGACAGTGTTCTTGGTGGAGAGGGGCTGGTGGCCCAGGAAGTACCGTCATGTCCTAAACCAGGCTTGTGCCATGCTGTGACCATAGCTGTGTCTCATCTGCTTGGTCTTGCTTGATTCCCACTCGTTGGTGGAGCCTGGTTCTCCAGCTTCTGACAATTATTTGGTGACAGATAGAGTTGGCACATCTGCCCGCCCAGTAGGTACACCAGTAAATTATTGCGCAGAAGTGAATTATAATGTCTTAGAAATACTTTAATGGCCAAAACTTGCCACATATTACTATTCTACTTTCCCAAAAGCTCCATTTTAAAATATCTAGCATGCAAATGGGAAAAGGCTACTTTCTCTTTCATAGCAAGAATTCGGTACTTTTTGTTAATTTCTCTTGTTAATTTCTGCCCAACACATGATTCTCCCAAAGTAGGAAAGGAATATGAATAACGGGTAATCGACAACTACAGAACACAACCTCACTCCACCAAATACTGTATAGTTCAATACATGCTTCTTATCAAATGAGTGAATATTAAAAATAACAAAAAAATGAAAACTTGGTTATAGACAAATAAATATGATTCCATTTAAATTTTCTTAAATTTAAGAGTTATTCAAAACTTTTGTTGACTATATGGTAAGCTTTGAGTTTTTTAGTGTCTTCAATTGAAATGTAGAAAACACATAGAACTGATTATATATATATATGTTAGTATAGATGCACATATATGCATATGAATGTGCATCATATAATGAAATCACATAAACTAGTAGAAAGTGCATAGGCCAGGGCTATAGAATACTTTGTGAATTAGTTCTTGGGGTTTTCCTCATCTTTAAAATGCAAAGTTTCAAATGACATAAAATATTTACTTTAGACTTCAATAGTTTATGATTCCTAGTGAGTGAGTGAATGAGTATGTGTTATATGTTTATAAAGTATGGATGGAGGAACTATCCAAATCCAAAACTCCCTTCGAATTCATAATAGACTTTATTTGGTTTTTATCTACTCAGATTTTTTTTTTTTTTTTTTTGCTATTGCATCCTCTGTCCTTCAGTACTGATTTTTCTTTGCTCCACAAAACTGGTTCTTTTGAGATTCAATAATACCACATACCAGTGTGCAGGAGACTCGAGCCTAGCTATAATGCACTATCATTCCTAGCTATTGGGCTTGGTCCAGGAGGAAGACATGTTACCTGAGCAGGTTATCCGAACCTTTTCTAGCATTATTTGTATTAAAGTCAGGAGGAGGATCACACTTCCCTCTGAAACTGCTAAATGCACTATGACCTCATCTGCACTCTGGACTCCTGTGATATGGGGGAAACTTTCTGAACCAAACAGAGAATGTGGCCATGATCCAAAGGCTAAAGGAAAGAAGAGGGGTCCTGATTACATTGTCAGAGTCTAGCCCTTCCCTCTCAGTTAGGTGCACCAGTATTTCCTCTTTGGGGCTTAAGCTAGATTAAAATGGATTTCATTTGCTTATAGAGAATGGCACTTTCTAGCCCTATATCTCATGGTGCAAGCTGATTGTAAATTATAATTTAGTTTAATAGCCTCTAATTGACATGGTAGTTGAGTTCTTAATCAGTGTATGGGTCTTGACACTTCCCTTGGAACAGCAGTTCTAGCTGACAGGATCAAGTAGGAGTTGAACACTTGCAATTAAACCCATAAAAAATAGTTCACTGGCATTATCTCTGAACACGTGAAATTACATATTAATCAACTACTATTTTACTTGCACTTAGTAGGTGTTCAATGAAGATTTGCAACCCTGGTAAGAAATTTTTAAGATAATATAAAAAAGAAGATAGTCTCTTCTCCAATAGCTATTTAAATAGAATTTTATCACTAGTTTTTATCTTAGTTTGAAACTTTACTATTTGAGTTTGACAATAGGGAAAACTGATGTTTTCTCTGGACCTTTAAAACCAAAGATGCTACCCAAATTCTTCATCATTTCAGAATTTGTCAGTGTATGTGTCTGGCTTGAGGATAGAATGTGTAACTCCCTGTCCACAATAATTTTATTTTCCTATTTCATTAATATTCACTTTTTAGAAATTGTTTAGACTCTTGTAGCATAGTGTTATAAAGTTTGAGTAATATACAAAATATACTCAATCCTATTATAATGTCATATCTATATTTATATAATCATATAATAAATATATTGGACATAAAGAGATGAGGAGATAACAAAATAACATTGAAATTGAGGACTTTGAAATATCATATTTTAAAACATATAGAACACATTCTATGAACTTGTTCTTCACAAACTGATTATCCTATCCCTACCCCAATGAATATCTGACACCTCAAAGAAGATATCCTGTGACAAAAATTCGATTGCAATCAGAAATTACTCATTTTTCTCATGAATCTAATGTTGACTGACTCTTCCTCTGATTTGGACTATCACAGTCCCAGTGGGTTGGTAAAAAATGTGAATTCTATAGGAGAATTTTAGAGAGTCTGCTCAGGGCCATTCTGTACGAAGGGAAGTACAGAATCTCTTCTGCATCTCTCCCATTTCCCAGGGGCATTTCATTCCACCCCCATGGATTCCTCTGCCTCTCTTCAGCCAGCTAATCCTGAGCTGGAGCTTAGTGCTAAAGTCTTGTGTCACTTCCAACTTCCAGTACCCATATTTATGTTCCTTGATTAAAACAAGCTGCTTCTTTTAGGTTCCACTAGGGCCAAAGAAATTTCCTTGGACAGAATTATAAGGTCCACACATCTCTTTTTACATCTCCTCTGTTCACTCAGCGTTGCCATATTTTGTATGACCATGTAATGCTCTTGCCTCTGTTAGTCACTAATAGTATATAAACAGCTTACAGTCACCCTTCCACTGGATATTGTCATTTTAGAAGGAATGTCTTCCCATGATTCAAAGAAATGGATATCTAACCCCAGGGCTTGAAGCCCCACCACAGGGAGACTTCATGCTTGTTAGAGGAATATTTGGGGAACATGGAAAAAAAAAAAGAGTAATGTAAGTTTATCTGAGCTTATCCAACTGTAATCAGATGTGGATTTTCCATCAATGACAATCCATTGCCAAACTGAAAATCTTGATTGAGCATTTCATTAATCTCCCAGCCTCCTAACATTCCCATCATGGTTATTGTCATTTTATAAGCTGGGATTTGGATTTGTTTTGGACTTTTCTCCCCCTTTTGGAGGGGCTGGGGGGTTGTCTTAGTGCATAGGAGAAAAGTTCCTGGCTCCAGCCGGCAAGCCCAGCGTGCAGAACTGCTTCTGAGACTGGGGGGAGAAAGTGCTGGTAGGTATTTCAGGCCATAGCTCTCCCAAAGATCTCCCCACATGGCTTGCTTAGCTTTTACTTTCATTTTGTATTAAACAAAAAGTCATTTGAGGGCTATTTAATGCTCTGGTTTGTGTTTTCCAATACCAGATAAAAGTTAAACAGATGAACCATTTGGGGGGTAAGGATTGGGAAATCCACGGCTGCTAAAATGCTTTAAAGTTCCAAAATGGTTTTGTTTTTTTAAACCCATTTTCCATGTTCCAGCAGCTGTGGGTTTTCCCAGGGCTCCCCCTGTGGCTCAAAAGGGAGCTGCTTAATGCTTAACAGATGAGCCAATTGAGTTTTTAAATGCAAAATTAAACTTAAAGTGTACAAAGAGCACAAGGGAATCCACAGCCAAGAATAGACTGGAAGAGAATGAGCAGAGAGCTGGGCTTGGAGACACAGTCTCCTCTACTGCAAGGAGGAGCTCTGGGCACAGGGTCTGGGCACATAGATCTTTTGATCATTCCTGCAGTTAAACTCCTCATTGCCAAAAGTTTTTCCCTAACTAGTGGTTTTAGACTTATTTATGTGTCCATTTTTCTTTAAGAATAAGGGGGAAGGGGAAGCGGATGGGCTCTTAGAAAATCTTAGAAAATCAGAATACATGTGTAGGGACCACCATTAGTATGTTCTCTCTCGGTAATGGAGAGAGTCACATTTCCCCCCTGGGTTCCTAGGTGCCTGACTTCCTGTGCCCAAGACACTCTTGGCTGATCTAGGTTCTCAGAACATCTGCTTTAAAGATGAGGAGTTAGGTTGAATGTCAGCTTTGATTGGGACACTCTTTAAAGCACTGGATAAACTGCTTATTCATACATCTCAATATCTAAACAAGAGGAATCATTGGATTTGGGTGCTTAAAAATAAGACCTAGAAAAAAGTTTTGTCCAACTTTGTCGAAAGTTCTGAATCAAAATAAGCTAAGCTAATAAGCCAAGCTAATATTTCTCAAAAGAAAAGTTTCCCTTTTAATTGCATAAATGTGTTTATTTAAGAGGTGCCCCCATACCATCAAGCCTAAAATATAATAAATGCATTTTCTTTTTTTTTTTTTTTGAAAATGAAATTAATGGTCATATTCTAAATCATGAAATTCTGTTTGGGAGTAGATCTTTTGATTTAAACAAGTTTCACATGACAATTTGTATGTCAGCTTTTCAGGTTGGGGTACAACCCAAAAAGTATCATCAGACTCACACAAACTCCCAAATTTCTGTACACTACATACTGGTAACATCAAATGTTTAGTGTTTTGGGAGTGTACAATCCTTGCCTATCACACTTGAGGAACATTAGAATACATGACATGGTGTTACAAAAGTACGATTTCATTGGAAAACTTCTGTCTTCCAGATGTGGCATTTATTTCCAGCTTTTAAGTTGGAAAACACTAAAAATTCTTTAATAGCTTACTTTGGGAGAAATCATTTCAAGGGCTAGTAACCAAAAAATGCCATTAATAGGCCAGCAAAAAATATTTCATTAGAGTACCAAGAATAGGTTGCTAGAAAGCTTTAGGTTCACATTTGACATGTTATTAAGTCCAGCAATAACTAGTGAAAGCCTAAGTTTAAGTGAGGTTAAAAAGGTACACACTTATATACATACATGCACGTACCTTTCTAAAGTTACCTATTCAATGACAAATCCCATTTTTCAGGCATTTTTACCTTTTTTCAAATTCTCCAAATCAATCCTATTTTAATGTTGGAAAACTAACATGACCCAGTTGCAGCCCTCTTACCCCCATCCCCCACAAGATAAACAAACAACCTTCCCATATAAATCAATAAACTAACACAGATACTATTATTTGGAATTCTCTACCTACATTCTGATACTTGCCAACACTTAATTGTTTAATGGAACAATTATTTTACCTTAATTATTTAAACTATTGATTTATAAATAGCAACTTGTAAAAACTGGGTTGGGGATGGATGCATATTCCTAGTCTGACTGTGTGACTGTGTATTCGAGATTTGTACCTCTTCGATAGTTGAATCCACTTGAGTCATTGACTAGATCCTGTATTGTCAGTTTGCCTGAAGGAAAGATGCTGATGAGGTTGAGCTCCTGTGGAAGCAATCATATGGTTAATTGCTTTAGTGTGAACCTAGCCATTGTGATTAAAGCCCGAGACTGTTTAGGTAGAGCAGAGCTCCAGAGCTTCCAGGCACTCCTGGGCAGATCTAGTACTCTCCAGGCCTTGAGAAAACACACTGAGGCATGAGCAGATCTCCCTGAGGAGTTGCAGTGTCTGGGGGATCATTCAATCATTAGATCATATTCAACAAAACTGGGTTAATTTGAATATGAAATCATTGGATCACATATTCATATATATACAACCTCTTTGAAAGGGCGATCATCAGAATGCAGATTTGAATAAACAAGAACATATTCAAATCCCGTCGTCATGTTATGTGCTTGAGTTTAATGTTAATCGGTGCTCAGTCCCAAAGGATTGTATACCTGTCATCTAATGCTGCCTGGGTACTGCTACTGGTATGCTTTTCAAGGACATAAATTAAAAAGACAATCTGCTCCACTTTTGAATAAAATGCTATGACTTTTCTTAATTCCAAATTCTGTTATTACTCATACAATTTGCTGAGCAATATATTGACCACTTTTAAAAATATACTCATAGGTCAATGCACATGTGTATGGGAATATATACATATATGAAATTGAACACACAAAGCTTCCGAAACTTTAATCTTTTTAAAAATAAAATTACATAGAAAAAAAAGTAAATATGTTTCTTCTCCAGTGAAATGTTGGCTTTAGAGCTCATTCAATTGTGACAAGGAGATTCTAAATCATTAATCAAGTAGAGCACTATCCTTAAAAAAAAAAAAAAAAAAAATTACCCAACATACTTTTGGGACTTTCACAAGTAGAGGCTACCATGCATTGATGCATAAAGAAACAGCTATCCATGTTCCAGTAATTCAAATCCAACATCATTTTGACGAGATTTTTAATATACTCATGGGAGCAACACAGGAGTAATTGATGACGAGCTCAAATTACTTGCATGTTATTTATCTTAACATCTATTCCATAATCTATTATTACATTATAGGCAATAATATCATTCTGTCAGTCATACAAACAGTGGAATTTTATTAATTTAATTATATTTATTGTTCCTCAATAAGCCCTTAAAAATTGACCCCTGTATATATAAAGCATTTTAGAAAGCTTACTTCCTTAGAAACCGATGCAGTTATAAGATTTGCCATTCTAAGTAATGTTAACAGAAAGGGGTTCCTATTATGGCATTTTTGCATTGTCCACCAAGAGTTTGCCTTCATTTTCAGAGAGGATCTCAGAATAAACAGCAGAGGCATCACATACGAAGCTGGAAGCCTAGAAGCCACATTGGGCACATACATTTTCTTCGGGAAAATACTAACACAAAGCATACGACCTCGAGTGCCTCATTTCAGAAATGGAATCTATGAATCTCTTTTCAGACCTGGTTGACTTAGTAATTCTTAGCACTGTCAAAATTTGCTCATAAAAAAGGTTACAAATTAAAATGCAGTGCAAAGCAATAGAAAAACAACCTCCATTCCCTAATGCCAAAATCAAATATGCAAATATTAAAATGAGGGGGCTCTGCTTCTTTCCCCCTCATACAACTGATTAAATTGTCACTGCTGGAGATTACATGGGGTTTTATTCCCTTTACAGCCATATTCAATTGGACAGACAGAAAAATATATTGCCACAGACGAGACCCACCACCTGGGTACACTGTGCTTCCAGTTGCCTGCAGAGGTCTTGTCCAAAACTTTGCAGCTACCCCTTTAAAAAAGGAAAAGTATTAGATGTGATCATTCATGACAAAGTAGATGGTCTCTAAAGTCCTTTCCAACTTGGATATTCCGGTAAGACAAAAGCCCCTCCTCCACTACTAGATATTAGTCTACGATTGACTTCCTATGTAACACTCCTTTTTATATGTATCTCAAAAAACATTTCATTCCTGGTGCATGAGACTTTCATTTAAAAATAAAGAGATCTATCATCTAACTTCCTCCTAGCTCAGAGGCTCTTTTCTTTCTGTGTTTGCACTTTATTTGTAGCTGATTGGTGAATTTATCTCCTGGCTTATCAGTTTTTTTACAGAAAACACACACCCCACCCTCCTTTGCTCGGTTGGATAGATTTGATTTTTCCAAAAATTGGATATAGAAACGGATGAATTACCTTCGCCTGTCTCACGCCGTGCCGCGGTTCTGAAATGATTTTCACTGTCTGCCTCCTGTCACAGAAGTTAGTGCTCAGTGACGATGTCGCTCGCCTGTGTCACTCTGCACTGCAGCCTGAGCAGAGAGCTGCCTCCAGCTGCAGGCGAGGGGCCTCAGCGTTAAGGACGCACGGAACCAGATGGTTCCTGAGACCTTTTCTATTTCAAAGAGATGGAGCTATGAGCAGAGGGATTTGTAACAGCTAGGGGAGGTGGAGAATGGTGGGTTTTAGAATTGGAGCAATCGGGAAAAATAACAACAACAACAACAAATAGTAAACAGCAGCTGCTTCATTTCAATGAGGAGTGAATATTCAGCAAAGAGTCTCCGTGCCTTAAGATTTGAAGGGGACATGCACGTGTTACTCTGCTATAGAGAGAGAAGGCATTGATCCCCCCAAAGGATGTTTAGTGACTCCGGTGTGTGGCTGGGGCTCTTTTTGTTGTTCTCAGCAAAATGATGCTTGTGATTGTTTGACTAGATGGGCTATCTACCATATCTGTTGACATAACCGCAGTGTGAACATTTACCTTCTCTGATTGGGTAGAGGAGGAAACAATCCAATTTCTCATTTCTATTATCCAGATGGGGAAGTTAAAAAGAAAGGACAGCACGTGGTCTATCCATGCCAAAACCCCCAAGTTCTTTGCCTTTGGAAACAGACACATATATTATACAGACACATATATTATACTTAAATAAAGCACCCCTTTTCAACCTGAGAATTTTAGAAATCACTGCTTTCAAATGTGTGTGCCCTTTTCTCTATTCAAATATCCTTTTGCTGTCAGAATTGAAAGCACAGTTGTGTGTGTTCTACTGGATTGAACAAATGTATGCTCCAACCCTTTATTGTCTGTTTGGGTTTGCTTTTGTCTGTCTTTCCCATGTTTCTTTGTTTTCCTTTTGTCTTCTTCTCAAGACTTCCCAGGGTTTTTGTTTTACCATATTGTTCTTTTTTTTTGTATTGTTCTACGGCTCTAAGACAATTTAATCTAATTTGCTTGGTCTTATTTCATTTCTCCCATAGTTTTCATAATGTTGCTTTTATTTTTTTTCATCCTTTGCTGGGGTACTTTGTTTATTTATGAAAACACAATTCCAAAAGTTGAAATAGTACTACATGGACACATTTTTTTCAGCTGGGTGCCCTTATCTTTAATTATTTGGACTTTTTGACTTGTTGACTCCTTTTCCCAGTCCTGACCATTTTTAATTATTGTTTTGTCTATTGTATTACTTTTTTCCATTTCTAAAGGCTTTCTTTTGCATTCTTCCCCTGACATCCTGATTTTGGGACATCTGATCATCATTACAATGTGACCACCATTTATTCAACCTTTAGAATAAGTACTGGGTTCAATGTTTCCTGTATATTTTATTAAACTCCTGTTGTAGTCGTGAAAGGTAGACATTCTCATTCTTGTTTGACACAGGGGAGGGCAGGGGCCCAATGATTAAGGTACTGCCTTTAGGCTACACAATAACTGTGATAGTGAGGATTTGTTCCCAGAGCCATCTGGTACCAAATCATCTCCTCTTTCAACCAGACCACATGAAGGCCAGAAATCAAAATTTTTAGGATTTTTAGGTTTTGAAATTTATTTTGAACTGAGGGTGTAGTTCAGTGGTAGAGTGCTTGCCTAGCATGTTTTGGGTCCTGGGTTTGATCCACAGCGTTGGAAACAGAGAGAGAGAGAGACAGAGACAGAGAGAGAGAGAGAGAGAGAGAGAGAGAGAGAGAGAGGGGTAGGATTGTTATACATAGGGGGAAAATATGCTCTCTTGCTGAACTTCATAAATACACACTCATTATTACCATGCACTTGTACTTGAAATGACTAAATAGGAATGAATTTTAAATCTTCCTTTGATCATAGATACAAGAGTTAGTTTTATTTGTGATTTAAGAAGACATTGTAAAGTCAATTTTATTTTCAATAAAATTTGAGGCTGAGTCGGCCAATCAGTCTTCGCATACAGGCCAATCTGTGAATAAGGTTACAAATGTAAACAAACTATAAGAGCAATTTCCAACTAGTATAAAAACAAGAAATGGCCACTCCAGAATTCTGAAGAGACTGTGCTTTCTGCAAACCTCAAAACATTATGTCAGCCTTCCCAGGAATGACATCAGTGAGGAGATATGTTTTTACAGTTGTCAAAGTTGGGATCAGACATCTAATCCCAGTCTGCTTGCAGCTGCTTTTCCTTATCCATCCCTCCCTGTATGAATTTGCCTTCTGGGAGAGTAAGAAAATTATGTGTCCCCTATGTTCTTGCTCAGATCTAGAAGCTCTCATACTTCTTGCCATGATAATGACAAGCAGGTGTCATTCTCTAAACAGGTTGCTTTGCAAATTCTGTCTACTCAGGGTTCATTCATTATCACCTTTGCCATCTATTCTTGTGGTGACATTACACACACATGTACAACCATTTAGTTTTAAGAAGCACTTCTGCTTGATAGACTATTAGAAGGTTCTAAAATGGCTGCAGCTATTTCCATAAAAATGTGGTATTTCTAGACTTAGGACAAGAGCTTAACCAAATTATCTTGGATGAATTGCAGCCCTGAAAGCTGTACTTGTAGTAGGCTGCAATTGATGCTCATGTATAGTCTTCCCCTAAGGAACTGCAGAAGGACAAAATTCGCCTCTAGCAGGCCTAAGGATCAGGAGTGCTTTGGCCACTAGTATAGGGTAATAGCAATGCCACAGTGGAGAGGAGACTGAGGCATAAGGAAAACTTGACTTGGAATCTCACTTCTATCATTTGCCACATTTGGGACTTGAACAAGTTTATCTCATTCTTCTAAACTTGTTTCTTCTTCTGTAAAATGGAGGAAATAGTGCCTAGTTCAAAGGTCTACTGGTAAAATGTAATCAGGTAATCAGTTATTCAATCATTCAGATCAGAATTTTTTATTTAGAAAGGCAAGTAGTAAAGACAATTGTCATCTTCACCATTATTACTATCATCATCTGTACAGTAACTACAAATTGATTTCTCTTTTTTTCTTTTGACACAATATCCTGAACTATGGGAGAACTTTATGCAGCATATGAAGAGCATCTGAAGTCCCAGTTTTTTTGGTTTTTTTTTTTTTTTGGTGTTGTTGCTGTTGTTCAAAGATTATAACTTCATTATGTACCACTCCCGTAACAACTCCAAGGTCAAAATCAAATGTGCACTAAGCAAAGCATAGACTAGCCAGCCTTTCAGCATATACAGCACTTGGAATTTATGTCTATTGAGAAGTATTTAATAGTACAAACCATAAAACAGCTCTCTCTTTACTACATCAATCTTTTCTGGTATTGTGTTTTCTTAACAGAAATTACCAGGGCTAAACCTCATGCTTGGCACATAGAAGGTGTTCAATAAACTACTTCTAAAATTAACTGAACTAAAATGTTGTAATTTATCTGCTTAATAAAGACCATAAATTCATTAAGGATATATTTCTTTCATGTGTCCATCTGTACACACATGCTTTCCTTTATTCAATAAGCACTTATTATTGTCTACACTACGCTGGGCACTGTGCCATAATGAGCTACACCAGGGCAGAGGTCATTCTTTCCCTTACATCTGTATCCTTAGTACTTAGCTTATTACATGGCATACAAAGCTGCTTAAGAAATATTTACTGAATAAATCAATTAAATTCTGTTTTTGGTTGGACGGCCTTTCAGGATATATAGGAGCAGCCTAGAGAATGGCATGATGAAAATAAAAACAACCAAACAATCAAAGATACAATTGTAGTAAGATTCACCTTTCCCAATTGCTTCCTAGGCTAAAAGTGAGCAGATCTGGACAATTTACCTCTAAGTTTCACTGCTGTGAACCAATGCATTTCAATTGGGCGTGTCAGAATTCCCTAACTACAGTTTTCCAATTCAACAATTTTCCCTTGGCATAATTTTTAAAAGGCTAGTAGGTGAAAAATGGTGATAGTAATGACCAATGTTAATGAATACACAATCTTATAATTATATGATGATTGGCAACTAGGATTATTGGGAGGAGGAAAGGATCAAGGTATATGGGTTTTATCCCAAGTTCTGCACTAAGAGAGAAATAGTGTCTGTTAAGTGGGATCAGTAGAAGGTGATTGTTTAAAGACTAGAAATCAGATTATTGCTCTAATTTTTTTACAAAGAAAAAACTAAGGCCTGGAAGAGGTTTAAAGACCAGTCTAAGGTCACTTGGAGTCCTGGTCTCTGATGTCTCTAAGAAAATAAATGATCTCACCACATCACAATATCACAAGACTTGTTCCGTGTAAACGCTCACATGAATAATTCCACAGATAGCTATATTTTAAATCAACTGTAAGACTTCCCAATACTAATAAAAAACAGAAAATGTGTAATAAAATATTCAAAGTGCTATTGGCGGTGTTTTCTGTAAAAAAAAAAAAAAAAGATTTCAAAATAATAGAAACTTCAGTTGTTCAAGCATAATGTACTTCTATTCAATTAAGCCCCTAAATCCAGATTAAGACCAGAGCTGGTTCCAATGAGCATGTCTTTTTTTTTTTTTTCTTTCACAGCCATTCATATTGAATTTTAAATTCATGTTAGCAACTGCCTTTACAATCCAGGGAAAAAAAGAAGGAGAGTTAGGGATAGTTCTGAAAAAGTTTCTGAATGAAGGATTGCAATTTACACTTGAAAAATGAGCTTTTGGAGGGTTCTATATCTCACACACCACTCAGACTTGTTTACAAGTAATAATTTGAAAACATTCTTAAAACACACAATTGGAAAATTGTGAGTGACCCTTTCCAAGCAACCATTCAAACCATGACAAAAGAAAGGGATGATCAGTCCTAGAGGAGATTTGTTCATCTGTAATTGAAAGGCATAGGTTTTTGGAGGCCACGGATTTATAATCTTGCTTTATGAAAGAAACAAGGGGCAATTATGCAAATTTCACAGGAAGTTACTACTTTGGGATAAGCTATAATTAAACATTCATTCCTAAAGATATTGTCTTCACACTGCTGTGTGGCTAGGTGGCATAAATATTCTTTGGAAATGAATTTATCTGTTTAATCTTTACACACAGAACAGTGAAGGGTGACCCTAGAGAACTAGGATCAAGGCTTTTGGCATGAATGAATATAAGAATGTGCAATTATTTCTTTCAGATCTATAAAAACATTCTTGCTGTTAACAAATATAAATGTAACATTTACTAGGAAATAAGAGACTGCAGACGGAAATAAACAAACCTAGGATGTGGTTCATCTAAGTAAACACTGAGGTTGTAAACCTTCAAACTCACATATCAAGAGCCTTGCAAATTAATGCGGCACACAATAGGCCCTTTGGAAACTAACTTAATCCACCCCCCTGAATCTACATGAGGGCCTTGCATAACAATGCCGGAGCTGGGTTTCCA